TCTCTTACTAGCAGTTTAGTTCTGCACTGTTTTCTTTATATGTATATTCTTGGTGGGTTTCTGTATCATTTATCAAGTGAATCGACAGACACTGACATTAAAGAGAGGAAGATGCAATCTCTTGGTATTGGCAGGGGCAAGTCATAAAGCTGTTTTGGTCTCCAACAAAAGGCACTTGATGTCTCTCCTGATCTTCAATGGCTTAACACTTTTTTTTTAACTACAGCCAGCCATTTATTGCCAGCATCTTACACCTCCACTTTCAATCTGCTGTGAGTTCACTCAATGTCTTGTCTGCTTTCCTCTAAGGCCAAAATTCGCTCATTCTTCCTGCAAGGAGAAGCTTTGTCAGCCCCTCCCCAGCTAGAAACTTAAGTTTGAGACTAAAACTTCACTTCCTGACAAAGGAAATATATAGATAGTGGACTTTGGTTATCTAAAATCACCTGTCTGAATAACTGTATGCTCTATATTTTGACATATGCAGATCTAAGTGTTTCCTAATGGTGAGAGTATGGTACTTTGAAGAACTTTTTTTTCTGTGTTGTGTTTTGGGTTGCTTATACTTGAACGATACCCTAGAATATGTGAAGAGAAGACAAAGCAGAGGTACACTTTTATCAAAACCTGCCTAAGTCAATAATTATATGATTTCTAGAGCTTCATATGGTGAATCATAATTTGAATGGTAAGATCATACTTAACTGATTTATTGTGCCAAATCACTAGTCACATGTAAGCCATTTAATAAAAACTAAATACATGAAATAATTGTTTTGCAGGGAGTACAGACATCTTCCCACCCATATGGAAACTATATGCAATCAACTCCAAATCTCAGATGGCCAAACAGTGTAAAACAGCGAGTAGCAGAACTGCAGCATTTGATTTATGGGCAGCTGAGCACTGCAGGCAGCAAGGACTCCTCCTTAGCTTGGCAGCGCCTGTTGTTTTTACTAAAATGACTATTCCTGCAGAGATCTACTACCATTAAAGGATCTGAGCCAGTTTCACATACCCATGAGGTTCTCCTTTGGTGCCATTGTCACTTTTAGCAGTTAGAATGTTCTTGCCTATGTCTGGACAGTGGGAAAGTTAATATGCAGTGTGCCAAATCACAAACCACAAACAGTGAAGCCCAGGTAAAACATAAAAAATCAAATAGGGCGACATTGGAAAGGTGCTTATTCCACATCTCTTTTCCCACCTAAGTTATCAATAAAAGGAACTGTTACTAAATAGGCTGGTCCAGGAGCATGGGGCAGCAAATTACGCAAGGGCTTGTGAGTTTCCACTGATTCTTCTGCTGGTTTTACTTGCAGATGGGTTTTGGAGTTGTTTTTAGTTTTGGTTTCCCAAAAAAAATTCTTCACTTGTATAAAGCTGTGTGGTTCCCATTCCAAGAAGTTCTGTTTAACTCATGCAGCCTCTGAAGGAATTAAACATGTTTTGCTTCCTGAAGAGAAAGCCACTAGAATATTAACATGCTGAGGTAGTCTCTCAAGATTTATCTCCTCCTTCCTCCTGGATTTTAAAGAAAATAAATCCTACTTGGTTGAAGTTGATTTTTGCTTTAATGTTTTTAATGACAAGTTGAGGACACTGGGCTGGAAGCACAGGGGTTACAGTGCTCGGTTCTCTTCTAAGTTTTGTCAGGGACACGTGTTAATTCAACTAAACTCTGAACCTCCTCTACCTCCCAAACTCGCTCTTTTTCCTATTGAGAAAAATAAGTCTAATGATACATATGGCTTTAGATTCTTACAGGTTTTTTTAATATTGAAAATAATGCTTCTCACAGAATTCCAAAACATTTTTTCTTGGATTATTGCACTTCCTCCTAATTCCTGTAGATCCTATAAATACGATTTTAAATAAGATTTTGAAGCATAATGTCATGTTCAGTGTTTAAACCCCCCAGAATGTATTTGTACTTTCTTCACTATTATCCCATCTGCCAAAATTCAGACCTTTTGCAAAAATCAGCAAATTGACATCAGTTTATTTATCCTTAGGGACATCAAACTACTACACTGCATAAGTTCTAAAAATAAATAACTAAAGGGGGTGGAGGGAAGAGATGGCAAACAACAAAAATCTGTCACAAAGTCGCCCTGATTTCTGGAGAGTGCATGATTTTAGCATTAAAATGTCCAAACAATGCAACTGAGAAGTAAGTGTTTGAACTTGGGCCCTTTTAGCTGGCTCTACATTAAGCAGCATTAATGTTTTTATACAGTCTTTGGAAAGCTCAGAATTGACCTGTTTTTATTATTTTTATTGGCTCCCTTGATGATAGACAAATGGGGCTAACTTGAGGCCAACCTAACCAGCAGGAAATTTGGGTCATGGTTAGTTACATTTTTAAAACTCGTGTTCTAGGGCTGTTCAATCAGAGTAATTGATTGATTGTTAGGTGGTGCAGGGAGCCCCTAAATCACTGGAGGTGGCCAGATAATGACAATCTGCCAGTGGATTTTGTTTGAGGCAAATTTCCCAGCTCCCTGTGGAGCCCTGCTCTGCAGTGAGGTTGTGAGTCCCTTTGTTTTTTTCATGCACAGTCCAGTTCAACTGGCCTGTTTGGACAAAATAGCCTCTGAAACTTGGAAGTTCCATTTGAAGTCCTCTGTAGTGCCATTTCCCAAGAGATAAGGGGAGAAACATTCCAGAAAAGTTCATACCCCAGAAAGACCCTACGTGCATTCTGAAGTTAATGGTTTATTACAGCTCCTTAATTTTTTTTTCCTCTTTCATTTTTACTTTGAAGATAAGAGGTGGCAATTGTTACTTGAAGTTGTTGAGTTTTAGCCTGTCCTACAGTAAATCACCCTGGAAGTTTAGACATTATTTTTTTTAACCATGTATGTTTGAAAGTTTGCCAAAGATGCTGTACATGTGTACTTGCAGGAGCGACAATCCTCAGGCAGGAGCTGCTCACTCTACTGTTCTTTACAACCATGGGCATCCTCAGTGCTCCATGCCTGTGGCTAATCTGTGCATGCAAAATACAGCTTTTTCAAGAGCTCATCTTGGGTTGTGTAGCAGCATGCCATGCATTTAGAGATGGAGTGACGTAGAGTTTGTGGATTGAGAAGGGAGGAGGGGTATAGATGATGTGCCAGTAGATAGTAGATGATGTTCAATAATACCTGGCATAGGTCATGCCTCTTCATAAAAATCAATTCAGGTTAATATAGACTGAAGTTCGTCATCTATTCCGGCATAACTCCACGTGTAGGTTTTGTCGCCCAGATTTTGTCATCATTTCGTGCCGTATCACAACAAGGTTTACCTTGAATTCTTAGATTTCTAGGGCTGATTAAGCTTTTGTTCATTGCAGATGGCTTCCTTATGATAGGTGCATACCTCTGAATTCCTTGAAGCTTTGTCTTTTTCCATCTTAGGATCTGAAAGAATCTATATGGGTATCAAGATGATAATTTATTTTTGTCACTTTTTCAAAAGAGAAGAGGTAATATGGAATTAAGGCAGGGCTCTGTTGAAATCCAGGAATCAAGCAGCCTTGTTTTGAGGATGGCCCAGCTACCAGCACATGCCAAACCACTGCCAAACACCATAGATTTGCTTCCTGGGTGGAGCAGTGCTTGGATTTACTGTGTATGTGATTTAGCACTCCCTGCCCGAACACAGAGAGTAACATCTGACCACACTGAAATCCCAGGAAAGAAGAGTCCATGGCAAAACTTGTATGACAAGAGCAGGGTGGGGTACAAAAGTCCACAGAAGCGTTAGTTTCTAATAGCACAGCCTGGAAAAAAGTTTCTTGGAGCTTAAGTAATTCATGCTTTCTTAATGATTATGATCTGTGGTGGATCAGTGTAGGTATGAAAATGACAGTTTCTGAGATGCTTGTTAGTGTTTCTGAGGCTGACAAAAAACAATTAAAAATACAACTAGACCACCTGAAATCTTGTATAGAGTACACCAGGAGACAAAGCGTTCAGTTTCTGTGTTCCTAAAGCCATTGTATGGTTTTGCTATTGTATAAACTTCTGTCTCTTCCTAGTATGTTTGACTTGTAATTTATTTATTTATTATGAATCAATTTAAAGGGTATATTATTGGCTGTGGAGCCTATTTACCACAACTAGTCTGTGTGAAGTTACTGTAGTAACAACCGAGAATAAATGTCTGCAGACTTGACTCTTCAGAATACAAGAGATTTGATGTTTCATTGTACACTGTGAACTGACCCATAGGTTTTCACAGGGGAATCTTGTAGGTGATCACAGGACAAGGGGCAAGGTACTGGTGTTGCAGGAGACCTCCTGGATGGACCTGAGCAATTGCTACCAGCAGGAGAGAAAGACTGTTCTGCTTCCCTCCCATACTTCCCTCCCCATCCCAGAGCGGAGTGTTCCTCCTGTTTGCCTTGCAGTGTTCCCACCTCTCACCTGGTCCTGCTGCTGAGTTCCCAGCTAAGCCAAAGCAGAAAATCAGCATGTAGAAGTTTCATCCATAGGTGTTTGTGGGCAGTGAGGGTGGCAGTTTGATGGTACAATTAGTCACTGGCCTGTTCTGAGTGGCAGAGACCTGCACAATGGATCTAAATGCCAGCCCTAGTGCTGCCTGATGTGGATGTCAGCAAGTCGATGGAATCTGAGCTTTGAACCCCATGCTTATGTACAAAATCAGACCTGAGGATGAAGCCTATAATTTAGAGGAATTGTTTGACTTTGTGCTTTGTACCATTTTTACCCATACCAAGGGATGGATGCGCTCATCTTCTCAACATACTGGTACTTGGAGAAGAACTAATCATAAGGCTTTTCAAGTGCTAAAATGCTGCTGTCATGAATCCCTAAGAAAAAAACTGTAGACAATTAATAAATTCACTGTCTGAGCAGCAAATAAATCACATCACCATCTACTGACTACTGAGAGTATGAATATTGAATGATGTGCCACAGGAGTGTGTCTGGTCCTAACTTACAAACACTATGGAGGCAATCTGACACAACCTTCCTTCTGTTTTTCAGACTATTGGCGAGTCAGAAATGCCCAGTGTTTTGAACCAGTTATTGCCAATGATCAAGTCTTACAACGAAAGGACAAAAGATGATTATGCCTGTGAAGACTTTCTTGTTTTGCTGATATACATCTATTCTATGGTTGGAGAAATCAAATGTGAAAAAGAGCTCGACACAGCTGAAGAAAAGGTGAAAAGGGCCCTTGTCAAGGCAATTTGTGATGAGCCAGAGCTGTCTCCTTTGTTGCAGAAAATTACAGGTAAGATTCTGCTTTTGTGGTGAGATGTTGGATGTCTGGGAACGTGTGAACTGGGAGAAGTGTATAAAAATGTCTTCACTTGTCTGTGGTGCTAAGAGTACATGAGTAAGCACACGGATTTCCTGTAGATTTGTTCCATCTCCTGTGTTCATATATGCCAAATGCTGACAGGCTGTCCTTGAAGAGTGCTGAGTCTGATGAAAGCTCTACAAGTTGTTCTTTTTGTTAAAGGTTTGCTAAGTTTGTGTGTTTTCATAAGGTAATCTTTTCCACAATTTCTTTCATTGATTGGTGTAAAGTTGACCCTGGGAAGTCAGAATTAATCCTGGAAACATGTTCAGTGAACCACAGTTGCTTTGTGAATACGAGGAGCTGGCTTGTCTGGCATAAAAGAAGAAATGTGTCTAAAACCAACATTGAGCATTTTGCTGAAACAACATGAACATTAGCCTTTAAAAATAGCATGGTAAGCCTTTTTTTTAGATGAGCACTCATAGAGTAGGAAAGCCCTAACCTCTTGTTGCCAGTATCACATTTTAGAAAAAAAAAAAAAAACCTGCTAAAAACTTAATTTTAAATTAGTGAGCTGTGGCTCAGGGGTGGCCTAGCATGGCAGAGGGGATCTCACTTTCTGCGATCAGTTTTCTCAGTAATATTGAGACCAGGTCATCATAGAGGTGGAGAGCATAAATCAAGATGTTGAGAGGAGCTTACAATTGAAAGAATGGGCCTAAGTGGGGAGTCTCAAGGGAAGTGGAATAATACTGCTATTGGTTATTCTGGTACTATTCCCTATGGACACTTCTAATTCAAAGTACAGGTGTGGTCTCACTGGTCTACTGTTGCTTTGAGTGTAAAATACTGTAATAGTTAAAGGACTTAGGGTAGGAATGGGTCACTCAGTCATATTTGCACTGTGGTTTATTTTAATACTCCTGGCCACAGTGCCCACAGAGTTCCAGGCTTCTTGTAGGCTTTTGCCTTCCTGTTTTTCAATATGTACTGCACATCTTGTCCACCAAATGATGCTTCCCTCAGAACTTCAGTGGTGTCTTCTAGTGAATGGGATGTAGTAATTTCTAAATCTCTGTTTTCATTATTTTCCCCTTTCTTCAATAATCAAAGAAGTTTTAAATCACAGTTTTGTCAGTTTCTCTTCATTATGCTTAAAGTAAGTATGTGAAGATTTAAGTCTCTAAAACTTCAGCCAAGTACCAAAGAGAAGCTGAGAAGAAACCACTACAGATAGTTTTAGACCAAGCCCATCATTATTATGTGATGAAATTATTTGCATAACACAAAGCCAGAGTCTTTGCATCCTTACATTTCTCTATCTGTGTTTTAGCACAACCATGTCTGTGCAATCTGCACAAGTAGGTGACAGTATTGCATACTTTTTGCATACTCATTGCTTGATACTTTTTTGGTTCTTCAGCATTTTTTGGTTTTACATCTTATTTATTTTGAGTTATTCATGGGAGAGGGCAAAGGAAAATAACATCTATTGTCATAACCAGAAATAAACATCATGTTGGCAGCAAAGTATCACATGAAATTTCTAGGAATACTCCATAGGTCATTTTCAAGCCTTTATTTATCCAGCCATTTCCTTTGTCAGAGCTAGTGGAATTTGCTGAATTTGCAATTTGCTGTATTTGCAGTACAGTGGAATTGGGAAGACTTAAAACTTGACCAGCCTGAGACCTACTCCTTGATCTCTATTTTGCCAGGCTTGTGTTCTACAAGCCGTCTGAACCTTAGGTAGCTTGCTTGCCCTCTGAACCTTACATAGCTTTCTTGCAACTTGGGAGGCAAAGCAAGTCAGAACTGACGGGCCATCCACAAGCTTTCCTTCAGAGGCACAGCAGGACTCTCTTTGTAGCAGGGTTGAAAGTCAGGGACTAGAGAGCAGTGATGTTTTCTCCTTTTTGTACAGTTGTAGATATAGTGCCGAGATATATTCTGCTACCAGCAGAACATCTATGAACTACAGATTGACTATTCCTTTTAGCAGATGCAGGTTGGCATATTTTCACAAAGTCAACATAGCTCTGCAACAGCCACAAGTCTGGACAGATCGTGTTCCAGACCTACAGTGTTCTGCCCTCATTTTACTTTTAAGTCAGAAACAAAAAAACCTTTTTTTTTGTTCTCAAGGGGCCACAACAGTTAACTAGACTAAAATAAATTTCAGTGATGCTTAGAATTATTAATTCACAATCAGAACAAAGTAAAATGCTCATGGTCTTTTATTTTCACCTTACTGTCAAAGTAAGTAATAGGAAAAATGTCAAATGAGATGCATCAGGAGAGAAAACTGTGCCAGTTATTGGGTGGATTTGAGAGACACTGCCTGCTGGCTCATTCCTCACCTCCATGGTGAAGTTTCAAACCCTGCTGGCAATCCTTGATTGGACAGCTTGAGTTATAGCAAGAGATAGCAAAATGTACTGTTGCCTGTAAAAAACGGCACACAGAAGTTATAATAGGTAGGCTGCAAATCCGAGCACTTCAAAGTTGAGAAATGCCAGTAAATAATTTTCCCATGTAGCCATCATTTGACTCCTGTGTGCATTGTAGCACAATCCTCAATCTCATGATTATATAGTATTTTCTACGAGCCGTGGCTGCATTCACTGCATGGACTGAACCCCACAGAGAACTAGAACAATGTAGCTTCAGTTATTCTTCACATGAGGAAGAGGTACTAATAAAGTAAGTGAGACTCATAATATTCAGCAAGTAACTTTCTCTGGCTCTCAGTTTGCAGTTGATGAAGTGGACTGGTGCTCTCAGCTTTGTGACTCATTTTGGAACTTGAAGCAGAAAGTCATTAAATTACATTTTGAGGTATTAGTGATTACATATCTTTCAACAGAGGGGACTTTGTGCTCTGCTTCCTGATGCACCTGGTGCCTGATGTTTTTAGCTTGGGCCCAACACTGTACTAAGGGTTTGTGGTTGATTTAAATTGAAATTTAAATTAAAACTCATATCTTAGCTGTGACTCTGAACTGCTGCCTCAGCCTTCTGCTTTCTTCTTTTCTGCAAAGCATGGAAGTTGTGCAGTGTTAACAAGTATACATTTTTCTTAGTTTTATTTGTTGTTCCCATAGAGTCACTTGAGAAACACAAAGCAAAACCTTTTAAAAGCTTTAGAAGACTTGTCTTTTGAGATCAAATTATCAGTCAAAGTATTAGTCAGGTTTATATGAGTTATCTTTTATTCCTGTTATACTTGTTAAATGTAAACTTATTGATGCTTGCCTGACTCCATGCCTATAGGAAATCTCCAGTTACGTGACTGCCTCACAGAGCTAGTGCAAATCTCCCCCAAAAGAGGCAGCCCACAGGTGCACAGGGGATATTTGTGCTATTTGGTGTTACCTAGTGAAACTAGACTGGTATTTGCAGCAGTGCAAAGACAGCAATTGTCATAGACAGGGCCTGTCTGTCCCATTGGGCGCGCTAGGTTTCCCTAAGGCGCTTCAGGTTGCAGCCCTCTGCAGAATACGTTAAAGATGCAGCACTTGCACAAGCTTATATTGTGTTAGAAGCACAAGCCCTTCCAATTTCCTGGCTGTTGAGTGTTAGGATACTCAACCTTGCTATTGCCTGAACATATGTTTTCCCAAATATTTGTACAATAGCATTCTGCATTTATGTAACACCTTGTTTCATTGAAGCACTAAAAAATATCCTGGAACTGTGAAGTAAAATGAAAATGGAGTGCATTAATCACACACTGAGTTTTAAGAAACACAAAACTAATTTTTGCATGCATAATAATATAAAAGTGTATTAGCAGTGTCTTGTTTGATGGAACTGTTAAATAATAAGTGTAGTGCTAGAATATCCTAATGCTCTAGGTAATAAAATTGAATGTAACAGTTCCAAGATTTCTCCTGGGTGTAATTTATCTCAAACATATGTTCTCCATCACTGATTCCAGCAGAATGTTACAAATTGGAGGGGAAAAAGAATAGACCAGAGCATAATGGAAAATGATGCTTTTCCCAGAATGCTAGGTTTGGGAGCTTTAGGGGTGGGACTCTTTGGCAGCTGTTTGAAAATAAACCCGCTGCAAAATAGCATATTTATTTTATCATCTTATCTGTTCATCTAGTTTTCTAAATGTCTGTGTAGATCTGTGCGCAAATGCAAACGTCTGCAAAAGTAATGCTAATAGAGCCACAAAGCAATAAAGGTCTATTTTTTCAGCTGTGCCAATCTCTTTTTCATCTACAAGTCTCTGTGGGAGCTTTGTAGAGCAGATCTGCCTTCCATGGTGTGCACTGAGGACTCCCAGCCCAGCCCCAGCACCGGCAGCTGGCTGTGCTGCCCATGTGCAGTAACTTTCGCCTGGTAGGGCTGTATCAGTTGCATCCTCCTGAGCACAGGTGTAATAGGAATAAAATTCCTCTTTTGTGCCAGGAACTGCTGGAATTTTTAATCACAAATTTGATTTCTGGACCTTTCTCTTGCTTTTTCTAAATTCTGTGTGTTATATAATGGGGGGGGGGGGGGGGGGAAGCAAACTGAGAAATCTTTAAGTAAAGACCAAAATGGAAACACAGAGTTCTTTAATGTCTAGAGTCTTGCAAATACAAGCTGTCTGAAGTCTGTACTGTACCCTTTTTGACCTGTGTAAAAATCTAGGGACTGGGAATTGTAAGTCTCTTTATCTTTTATTTGTCTGGAGATACATCTGAATCTTTGGTTGTGGGAGGAGTAAGAGTATTTCTTACTCTTTTCTCATAAATTTGGGTTAAATTTGCAAGAACAAAATACAGGTGATGGGCCAGGGGAGGATTCCTTGCCCATGGCAGAGGGGCTGGAACTACAGGGTCCCTTCCAACTGAAATCTCTCTGTGATTCTGAGAGTCTGTGGAGTGTAGGCATTGCCATATTGGATTAGACACTTCTCAACTGATTCTGCTTGTCCTCAGCACATGATTTTTTGGGGAAGATGTTTCATATTAATGAAGTTACATGCTAAT